GGGGCAGTTCTAGACAGGGCCTGAATATATGTTGCATGGCAGAGACACATGAATCATAGCAGTGCAGAGATGGATTACAGTAGACAGACAAAAAGAAGCCCTCAGAGATCCCAGCTTCCTTGTATTCATGCTCTGCTCTGTGTAACTCCATTCTCTGAACATGGACTGCCTTACTTCTATCAGTTAGATATTGCAGAAATGAAGGGATGTCTCTTTCAAGATTAGATTATAAATAGAAAGTGGGTTTGATCAGAGCTGTTGTCTTTCTCTCTAGCTCTCTTAGATGGCTCACCCCTGGGGCCAGGCAGCTGCCAAGTTATGAGATAGCCCTGTAAAGAGGTCCACATAGCAAGAGACTGAGGCCTGCAACCACTACATGAATAAGTGTGGAAGAGAATTCCTGCCTTCTCCTAATTAAGCCTTTAGACCAGAGCTGTAGCCAGCAGCTTGGATGGAACCTCCTGAGAGACCGTAAGTGAAACGTACCCACCTAAGCCACTCCTGGATAGCCATGCTCCTATGAGATAATAAATGCTTGTTGTTGTACACTGCTAAGTTTTTGGCCAATATATTACACAGCCTAATACACCACCTTCACCAAGTAATACAAATTAACATCATTAGTGATGGCACAAATTAAAACCATGTTCTGCCTGATAGGATGCAATAAGAAGAAAACGGCGCCACCTAACAAAGATGCACATACTGAATTTATAAAAGAGGAAATATCAGGAAAAAAATAGTAGGAGAGACATTCTAAAAAAATAACTGGACAGAAATCTTCCAACCTGTTATAATCATGTAAGTCAAGCAAAGGTCATGTGGAATTGTTCCAGATTGAGAGGAACTAAGGAGACCTGACATTTAAATGGTGTGTGTGATTTTGACCTTAAATGTTTTGTTATATAAGACATTATTCTGACAACTGATGAAACTTGTATGGAGTCTAAGGATTAGATTGAAATCATTCATTAATGTTAATTTCCTGTTTTAATAACTGTATTTTGGCTATACATGGAGAATGTCTTTATTTGTAGGAAGCAGTCAATATTCTGTCTCCAAGCTCCTGACAAAGACTCTGCTTATGGGTCATAGATAGAAGCCAGTGATAGTTCAACTGTTTCATATTGTTCTAATCCACTTTATCATTTATTGGTTTGTCTCACTATGGCACTTCTGGGGAAGACTTATTTATGCTTCTGAGTTATAATAATGGTGTGAAACATTAATGTTAAGTATAAGTCTTTATATTTCCTTCTTGGAGTTGACTATCTAAATATGACATTGCAGAAAATATTCTGTTTAATAATCTATAAAAAAAAACCTACCCAAAATTTCATCTTAGCATGTATCCCCAATCTTCATTGAAAAAATTACAGTTCATAGAAAAAATACAAGGGGTACCTCTTTTTTTTTTAATTAAACCAGCAGCATCTTGTTTTATTTAAACTTAGACTAAACTTTTTTTTAAGTCAGTAAATAAGAGATACCCATTTCTCAGAATTCCTTTTAAACAGGAAACCCCATCCTCAGATTATAATGTAATGTAATATAATATAGTAAGTATTCTAAAGTTTTAAGCAGCTCATCAGAGGTTGAAAACTAAATTTCAGGCTCACAAAAGACATTTTTAAAGCCACTAACACTCAAACAAGGGTATAATTGGTTGCAATTAACTTTGTCCTAGAGCATCTGGGAGTCATTCCTACTTTCCGAAACACAGGAGTTAAGTTTTCACATAAAAATAAAAACCAAACAGTAGATAACACTGCATGAAGTTACTATAATGACTAAATAAAGCAGGGAATGCAAATCTCTAGTGAGATCACTTGGGCCCTACTATTGCTCAGGAATTGGTAGGTTTTACTATATAAATTGTGATTCACAACCAACATCTATAAAACATATCATAGAGACCTGGTTACAAACAACTCAATCAACTACCTGAAAATGGCTTTGCTCTGGCAGAGGGAGATAGTACAAGTATGAATATGAGGACTTAAAGATGTTAAACCTGTCAGCGTTCTAGGAAAAGTAACTCAAATTATATATTCAACTGATGCATGATCATCACATATTAAAGACAGCACATTACTATAATTCATTGTTACTCTAGTGATCTTAAAGAATTAAGACCACATTCATAATGTTCAAATTTGTCTCCAAGGAATAATTTTGAGTTGGGGAATATCTGGATCATTAAGTAATTTCCCTAGGTCAGAGTAAAAGCACTTTATCTGTGAATATTACTTCCATGGCATATTGGATATAGCATGACTTAGTAATAAAGTGAACTTTTTCTTAAACAATTCACAGATTCACTAGAATTTTCTTCAACTTTCAGGAACTAAATATACTCCAATGTCTTCTACGTCTTAAATATTGATTTTTCCTCTGAACTCTCTACCTACCCTGATCACCACCATTCTCCTCTTGTACAGTTACCCCTTTGTAATTTTCACTTGTTTTATTCTAGGTTTAATTGTTCATCATATTTTCAGATGTACAACCCATTACTGCTAAGTTGAGATTTATAGGTCCCAATATTTCTTGATTTTTTTATATTACAAAATAAGCCATTTTACTGTATGTATTTTAGAATTAGCTAATTCCTGACTTTTATTGAAAATGAAATAGCAGCATTCTCAATTATTGGGGAAGGACAGTTATGTTTTAGAAAAAATAACTCAAACAAGCATATAGAAAACCAACAGTGAGATTTGCTGCAGCAATCTATATCATTGCAAGCTCCATCTTCTCTTGACCAAAAATAATTTTGACATTGCAAGGGAAACGATACAAAGGCAGGCGTTGCCTGGATGGGATTGCAGGAAAAGAAAATAGAGAGAAGAATCATCACAGGACAAAGTGACTTAGAGCAGTGAATCATTTCCAGCTGTAAGAAGGGTGTACTCAGGTAGGAAGTTCAGTGCTTGGGGAACATAAATATGATGGCTGGATGCATGGTAGGTTTAGTTAACTTTAGGCTGGTCATGTGAAAACAGAAACAACAAATACCACGCATCTAACAGGGTTTCCTGAGGGGTTTGGTTATATGTGTATAGGCAGGGTTGTGGGGAATGGCAGAGGAAGTGCATGGTACCATTTAATCTCAGACATTTAATCTGTATGTGACGTTTGTACTTCTTAGTACATATTTGAAAAGTATATTATGTAAATGTAGTCTGAGAATATCTGGGCGAACCCATAGCATGCAATGAAATACTCCTCCATTATTAAGAAAAAAAAAAGGAGAGAGAACACACTGAAAACAATTCTAAGTATTCACTGGAGTTTCCTGAATGACCAATAAGAAAAATCAGGAATGTCACATGACAAGGCATTTCACAGAACCCATTCCCTCATAGATATCTTTGCTACTTCATGACAGTACAGAAAATGTGTCTCATCCCATACCGCTTTTTTTCTCACTCACTTCCCCCTCTCCTGATTTTCCGGATTGATTTCTATCTCCAGGCCCTAGCTCTGAACTCCTATAAAAGGACTCAGTCTCTACAGCCCTACACTTGATCCTAAGTGTCATAAAGAAGGTGTAATGATTTACCTAGTAAGACAGAATTTTCTAATACTGTACAAAGATGTGTGTCTTTGCTTTGAAGATCTTGTTATAGTAAGACATAGTTACTGAGAGTCACAAATTCATGTAAATATTTCCAATTTACAGGATGTAAGTCCTGGGTTAAATAATTTAACTACTAAACAGCATTGCCATCTTAAAGGCATTATTTTTTCTCTTCATTTTTATCCCCCTGCAAAACCAAGGCACAAGTAAACATAGAGCTCCCCCCCTTTTCAGGGGCTGCTTTCTAACAGGATGGTACTTCTCCCCAGTTGTACTTCTAAATCTCCTGCAATGATAGGATTGCATATAAGAAGCAGCTCAAAAAATGTAGAAGAAACTGAATAGCAGATTTGCAATCCTGCATAGGTATCCTAAAATGTTTAATCTAAATTAACTGCTTTGAGCTGATTTCTTAGGTCAAGGTGAGAATATGGTCTTTGAATGCCTGATAGGGTCACAGACACAATTTCAAGTGAATTTGTGGTAAATCCACATGACAACTTCAACAGCCACTGACCTGTTTCTGCTCTCAGGATACTCTATGCATGTCTGCGATAGTTGTAGGGGAGGCAGAACCCCTCTGAGGAATGTCAGACTTAGGGAATATTAACAATGGCGACGAGTAGCTTTAACTCACATATGCACTAGAAACTAGAACTTACATCGATATAAATTAAAGGATTGGCAGTGGTGACTGAGGGAAAGAAGTTATAATTTAAGGTTGTCACTAAAGCCTTACCTAATTGATCATAAAATATGTATTATAGAACTTTGTGAATATAGGTTGATATTGAAATGTGAAATTATATCAAATTTAAATTATTAAGAATGATGATGATACTATAGCTTAATTTTAAGTTTATTCTAATAATAAGTTCACAACAGCATTTGTTTCCTGTTTGGATGGCATGACTACTGTGGGTTACCTGTAGTCCCAAAGGAAACAATATCACCATTCTGACATATTTATCTACAGCTGCAAAGGCTGCAACACTCCCCTTTCTGGACTGTGTCTTTATTCTGATGCAATACATGCTTTGGATAACTTACTTTGAGGTAAGCATTACTCTCTGGTATTGGATTGGTATGGAAGTTAGGCATCTGGAATTGTAATGACAATCAATTTCAGTACAAAGTGAGCTTAGTACTTACAATACAAAGGAATTCTATGAGATCAGGTAAATGAAAATATTGGAAAATTGTGCAGAAAGTTACACATCCTAGGGATTTATGTATCTATTTACATTTTTAGAATGGAGCAGAAAACAATTTGAAAAAAGGAAAGTTGATAAAATAATTGGATTCTCAGTGGAAGAATAATCGTCTGGGTTACCAGGAAGAAGTTTCAGTCAACCTGCAAAAATAAACGTTGAAAAGGCTACACAGCATCCAATAGAATTTTGATTTGCCTACTCACCCACAGGAGACATTTCTGGGACACTAGCGACATAAGGTCCATCCAGAAACTTTGGCTCATTATCATTAATATCCTGCACTTTGATGATGAATTCTGATTCCGGCTCCAGGGGCTTCCTGGTTTCTATGTCCACAGCCTGAGCACGAAGTGTGTAGAAAGGTTTCTCTTCTCTATCCAGGCTCCTTATTGCATGAATGTCCCCTGTGGTTTCATCAATGGTAAAAACGGTGCCAGCGCCATCTCCTGAGAGGGTGTATTTCACAGTGCCCTCTCCCTTATCTAAGTCAGAATGGAGCTTTAGGGAGGCAGGGAGAGAGGCAGAGAGAGGGAAAGAGAGAGAAAAAGAGAGAGAACATCATTAAAGGGATGGTCCACTGTTAAAAATACTTGAACTATATTTTTTTCTCAGAAAAGTTAAAGAAAAACCTTATGGTATTTTTTTTCCTTTTTTTTTTTTTTAATTTTCATCAACTATTTGCCTATAAACATTTTAAACACAAATAAGTTGAAAAAAAATGTATGGGAACACCTATATATACCTATATATCTCAGAGATTCCACCATTCACCTTTTAATTTACTCAGCTTATCACATACATAGATCACATGTCCTTCTATTCATTCTTCTGTCAATCCAAATTATTCCTCAGTGCATTACAGAGATCAGAAGTACAGCCCCTAAATACATCAACATACATAAACACAACCAACTTGAACATTTGTCTTTACTTCTTTTATATCCTTTTGGGGATAAATTTTCATAAAATGAAATGTACAAATCTCATGTACTTATTGTTTCATTTTAAGTGATTTTTGCACTAAAGATAAATTAGCTCATAAATATCAAAACATAAACTCTCCAAATATCCTAAAGACAGAAATCAGTGAGCTGAATCCAGTGAGAGATAAGGTAAAGGAGCTCAGAAAACATCGATCCTTTTCATCTGAACGGAGAGGTAAGTCTGGGCAAACCAGGATGGTTTTGGCTATGTATGGTAGAGGATCTCATTTCAGCAGACTGACTTTAATGAGTTATTCAATATTACTCAGCCAAGTGATGAATAGAATTACTGATTATCCTTTCAAATTCACAGACAAATCACTAGCTCTAATTCATTCTATGTATTTGAGATCTTGTAATACAGAAATGTCTTGAAATCCTTCTAATCTCTTTTGAGATTCAACACATGTATAATTCACTATATTATAGCATGGTATAATAGCATAAACAGCTTCACTTTTTAGCAATTTGCAAATATTATGCTTTTTCCAAATTGAAGGATTGTAACAACCCTGCATTGAGCAAGTTTATCAGCGGTGCCATTTTTCCAACAGCATCTGCTCACTATGGATCTCTTTGTCACATTTTGGCAATTCTCACAACATTTCAAACTTTTTCATCATTGACTATATTTATTGTGGCCTGTGATCAGTGATCTTTGATTGTAATTGTTTCAGGACACCCTGAATCACACCCATATAAGAAGGTATGCTTAATCTATAAACACGTGTGCTTTGACTGCTTCACTGATTGGCCATTTCCCATCTCCCTCTTTCTCCTTGGGCCTCTCTATTCCATGAAACACAGTGATACTGAAATTAGGCAATGAATAACCCTACCATGGCCCCAAGTGAAAGAAGAGTTGCACATCTCTCACTTAAAATGAAAGCCTAGAAATGATGAAGCTTGGTGAGCAAGCCCTCTGAAAGCCAAGACAGGCCGAAAATTGGGCCTCTTGCACTAGTTAGACAAGTTGTCAATGCAAAGGAAAAATTCTTGATGGAAATTAAAAGTGCTACTCCAATGAACACACAAATGATAAGAAATGGTAATAACCTTACTACTGATATGGAGAAAATTTTCCTTTCAGGCAAAGTCTAATCCAGAGCAAAGCCTCACTCTCTTCAATTCTATGAAAGCCTAGAGTGGTGAGGAAAAGTTTGAAGCTAGCAGAAGTGGATTCATGAAGTTTAAAGAAAGAGACATCTCTGAAATGTAAATGTGCAAGGTGAAGCAGCAAGTGCTGATGTGGAAGCTGCAGCAAGTTATCAAGAAGGTATAGTTAAGATAGTGAATGAAGGTGGTCACTGAAACAACAGATTTTCAAAGTGGATGCAACAGCCTTCTCTTGGAAGAAGATGCTTTCCAGGACTTTCATAGCAAGAGAGGACAAGTCAGTGTCTGACTGCAAAACTTAAAAGGATGGGCTGAAACGCTCTTCTTAGGGGCTAATGCACCTGGTGACTAAGTTGCAGCCAATGACCACTTACCGTTCTAAAACTCCTACGGTCCTTCAGAATTACTAAATTTACTTTGCCTGTGCTCTATAAATGGAACAACAAAGCCAGGATGGCGCCACATCTGTTTACATGAACATGATTTACTAAATGTTTTAAGCTCTTGAGACCTAATGCTGAGAAAAAAAAAGGATTTCTTTTAAAATGACTGCTCATTGACAATACTCCGGTCCTCCAAACCTGTGATGCAGATGCACAATGAGATGAATGTTGTTTTCATGACTGCTAACAGAACATGCGTCCCCCAGCCCATGGATCAAGGAGTCATTTAGACTTTCAAGTCGTATCATTTAAGAAATACATTTCATAACGCTACAGCTCCTGTAGATAATGATTCCTCTGATGGATTTGGGCAAAGGAAACTGAAAGCCTTCTGGAAAGGATTTTCCATTCTCTATGCCATTAGGAACATCTGTGATTCATGGAAGAGGTCAAAATATCAATGTGAACAGGAGTTGGGAAGAAGTTGATTCCAACCTGCAGGATGACTGAGGGGTTCAGTGGAGGAAATATGTGCAGAATGGTAGAAATAGGAACAGATCTAGAAATAGAAGTGGGGCCTGGAAAAGTGACTGAAATGCTTCTGTCTCGTGATAAAACTTAAACAGATGAGGAATTGCTTCTTATGGATGATCAAAAAAAAGGGGTTTCTTGAGATGGAATCTACTACGGTGGAAAACGCTGTGAATATTCTTGAAATGACAACAAAGGATTCATAATATTACATAAACTTGGTTGTTAAAGCATCAGCAGGGTTTAAGAGATTTAACTCCAGTTTTGAACAGAGTTCTACTGTGGGTAAAATGCTATTGAGGAGCATCACGTACTAGCTATACAGAGAGATCATCTGTGAAAGGAAGTCGATCAATGCAATGCTTGTTTTACTTGAAGAAAGTGCCACAAACTGCCCCCCCAGCCTTCAACAACCAACACCCTAATCAGTCAACAACCATCAACATCGATGTAAAACCCTCCACCAGAAACACGATTACAATTCATTGAAAGCCCAGATGCTCGTTAACATTATTTAAGCAATAACATATTTTTAATTAAGGTGTATACATCTTGTTTATAGACATAATGCTACTGCACACTTAATAGACTATAGTAGAGTGTAAACATAACTTTTATTTGCCCCGGGACACTAGCAAAATTCATTAGGCTTGCTTTATTGAGATATTTGCTTTATTACAGTGGTCTGGAACTGTAACTCCAGTATCTCTAAGGCATACTTTCATGCTCTTATAAATATGTTTAATAATATAAACATAGATCCTATTCAAATTATATAGCATATATATTCTTATAAATACTTTCATTCAGTTGCTGATCTAAAATCTTTTAAACTATTCTCATTCATTTGGGTACAGCCATTTTATTTCAATGTCTAAGTCTTTATATGTAAAAGCTCATTACCAGTCAGTGGATCAACCAAAGGAAGATGTTAAGTTTTTATAGTGTCCACAGTCATTTGGGCTGTGCTTTAAAATTAACATACAAGCACAGCTCTCTTGTAAAATTTTGGGTAAGAATGAGTTCTGTTTTTCTGCATGTTTCAACACAAAAAAAAAGCTTTGAAATATTTTAAACTACGTAAATATCCTTTTACAAAGAGGTTCTCTGTACTAATATTAGTAATACGGAAACACAAAAACATAATCGCAACTATAGCTACATCTTTGATCTTAAAGTCACATTGCTGTTGAGGTTCAGTAAAATGAATCATCCTTCAAATTAACATTATTAAAATGAATTTATCCATTCTGTGAATTTGTATTTACTTCAAAATTTTCTCTGAAAGTATGTTTGTATAAGAGCATAAGCAAAGGATTTATACCTGAGTTAGTGATCTAATTTAAAAGAATGAGAAAATAAGGGAGCACAAGATTTTGATTTTTCTTTAAAGTTTCTGTATATTTTACTCAAGTCTTAAGAAAACTGTTCTGAATTCTAGGAAGATAATCCCCCTAATTTTTCACAAACCGCTATGAAGCTTAGGAAATTCAAGTGTAAAATCAAGCTGTAGATAATGCTCTTTGAACTTAGGAATTTCAAATTACAAATTTCAACCATACTATTAAAGATATTCAACACAGTGGGTATTGCTTTTGCTTTCAAACTTATTTAACGATATGAAATAGGCAAAAGCTCAATGCAAAAGCCATGACTTTATAAACTGGACCGATTTTGCCAATGGCTCAAAGGAATATGTCATAATATTGTGGGAAGCTGGTGGAAATTTGCAGTGTTTTTACAATGTTATCCAAGTAGAGTTACAAAAAAAACTTCATTTAGCTAAAATCAGAACTGTTTTCCTTTCAACCTGACATAAGAATAGGAAAGCAAATGTGTTTTCAGCTTTAGCCAAGATCCAAATTAGTTCAGTTGCTGCTACTTCTCATTTTTCTACCTTTTCCTTCTAATGTAAAGCTGAGTTTTGCAACAATTAAAGCTTCAAAAGAAATATGTGAAAATACATTAAAATTTTAACTGAAAATAAAGTTGATTAATGTAAAACTTGAGAGGATTAAAACTTTTATAGCAGTTCATGACATGATAATACATTAAAGGGGATCACCTGCAACATCTTGCAATGACAGACAATATTTAAAATTAGATACTCATTGCTGATTGAATATGGCACATGGGTGATTAGTAACACTTTAAGTTATAGGTGTTTTTCCAATATCAATCGTAATATTGGCCTGATGTTGGGTATTACAGAATTTTTTCCATATCAAATGTGAAATAACCTGAATAAAGTTGTTTTACATTAAATTGAGCATCTCCATCAACTTCTTACCTAGAGATAACATCATTTCATACACTTTCAGTTATATTCAGTATTTATATATAAATACCTTTGTATAATATATATATATACAACTGAAAGGGTATATATATATGTAAATATACTTTTATATTTATTCTCTGATTGGATATACATATACACATGGTAAAGCATTTTCAATTGCAAAATGCCATAATCATCTTTTTC